AAGGGCTCCGGGGCGTCCCCAGCAGCCCGTGCCCTGGTCCCCGCGCCCTCCGCGCCCCGGGGGCTCTCCGGGAGCGATCGCAGCGGGCAGCCCCGGGTCCCGCACGAAGGGGGCCCGGGTTGCCCACGACCGCGCCCGCGGAGCCCCGGCGGCCCCAGGACACTTGACTTTGCTGTCGCGCCGGGGAGGAGACAGCGCGCTCCCGGGGAGGGGTGGGGGCGCCCCCAGGGGCCCGCGCTCCAATCGGAGAGCCCGGGCCGGGGTCCCCGCGCCCGGGGGAGGGGGCGCACGGGGCGGCCCGCGGGGGTCGGTGACCCGCCGGCCCGGGGCGCGCGAGCTCTCCCTTCTCGGGAGCGTCCGACCCGCCTAGGAAGTTTCCGGGGGCGGCGGGGCCGGGAGGGGAGGGGAGGGGAGAGGGGGGCTCGGCCCGGGCCTGGCGCGCGCTGGGTCCCCGCGGCCCGGACCCCGCGCCCGAGCGCCGCGCGCGCCTCCCCGCCGCCCTCCCCGGGGCGGAACTCGGCGGCCGGGCGCCCGGTGGGAAGACACCCGCTGCCTCCCGAGGAAACCCTAATACCATCCATACAGCTTTAATGCGTTTATAATTCGATAAGTGATTTCAATTTGAAATTGTTAGTAACTAATTTTATGGGTAATTTTTCCACATCAAATATTTAAGCATGAGATTAAGGGAGCCAGTTCCGACACAGGATAATAAGGGGGTTTCCCCCCACCCCCCGCGCCTCCGCCTCCGCCTCCCTCCGTTTCCTACCGAGTCGTTTTTCCAAATCCCCAAAAGATGGCAGTCGAAGCCGACGTTCCTGTGCTCCTGCGGCCCTGCGCGGGGAGGGAGGGGGCGGGAGGGGGCGGGGGGGCGGGGGCGGAGGGAGAAGAAGGGAGAGCGCCGGGGAGAAGGAGAGGGAGAAGCTAGACGTTGCAGCGACTTTTCCAAACTAATTCTTTCACGCGTTTCTAATGCGGGCAGAAAACAGTGGTGGGTTTCCTGGAAATGTCCTGGCAGAAAAGAAAGCCAAAAAAAAAAAAAAAAAAAGTGCCTTGTGGCCTCCGAGCAGGGGATGGAGGAAAGTCAGCGCCCTCCCCCCCTCTCCCCTCCCCACCTCTCCCCCAGCCGCAGCCCCAGAGGGGAGACCCCGAGAGGGACGAACTGGCTTCTTTGTATTTTAACATTATATTCAAATACTGTGCAACCAAGCAACTTGTTTTCTGGAGGACAGGGCTCAGCAAATTGCTTAATGGGGAGAGAAGAGGTGGGGTGGGGAAAGGTGATGGGTGGGGGGCGGGCTGCCGGGGAGGGGGGAGGCTGGGGCCAGCAGCGCATGAATTGCAGACCAGTTGCCAAAACTTTTTTTTTTTTTTTTCCTGCTGCTGCTGCTGCTGCTGCGGCTGCCTTTGCTGCTGCCTTTGCTTTGAATGTGGGTAACTAGGAAACAGCAAGCCGTCTGAGAAGACGGAATTTCCAACGTGTAAAATGTTCTTAACGGAACCATTGAGCGAGTGCAATAAGGCGTGAGGGGGAACTAATCTTCCCATTTAAATGTTTGTGGCAATTTTATCTAAATGAATTTTAATGCTAAACGAGGGTAATTCCCCATTTGTAGCGCGTTTACTTCTCTTTCCTGTGCTTCTAAAGCAGTCGAACATCATGCAATGAACAATAACAATAAAAATACTGTCAAGACATATTATTCATTTCGAATGTGTTATAATTACAGCTGATTAAATATGATAGGGTAAAATATTTTTGATTTTTTTTTTAAAATATTTAAATCCTGCTTTTTAAAAAAAAAGTCTCACTCAACCAGCGGGCTTTCTCCCCCCCCTCCATAAAAATAATAAATTTTTAAAAAGCAGGGACAATTGCGTGCCCTTCTTTAGAGGAGGGCGTTTTGTTTTTGCCTTTTAAGAAACATCAGCAACACCCTCAGCACCTCTGTTCTTTCTTTCTTTCCGTAAGCGTCCTCAGTAACGTCGGAGCTGGCTCCGAAATTTGCAGGAGGAAAAGCTAAGAAGGGAGCGGGGACGCCCAGGCCGGGGGAGAAAGGCCGGGAGCATAGTCAGGCCCTCACAAGGCGGCCACGCGGAGCGGGGAACGCAGGGGAAGGACGCAGGGCATCCTACTTCATTTATTTTTTTTTTCCTAGTTCATTGGACACTAAGGATCTCGAATCTTCATAGTCTCCATATTCCCCGATTCTCCCTCACTGGCGCCCTAGGTCTCCCCGGGCCCCCGCCTCTCCGCCCCCAGCCCCCCAGCCCCCGCCGCTTCCCATATCTCTCTCCTCCTCCTCCTCCTCCTGCTCTCTCCTCCCCTTTCTCTCCCTCCCCCACCGGGGCCGGAGCATCCGTCAAGAATAAAGGCTGAAAATACCCTACCCACCCAGGCCTGGACTGGGGAGGAGGGGCAAAGGGACGGGTTAGTTTATAAAGTTTATTATGAATTTTTAAAATAAATAAATGGTGGTTCACTGCTAGCAACCAGCCCCCCCAAGAGAGAATTATCTCACTTAAGACGGACTATTTACGTCGCCGAGGAACTGCCAGCGGGTCCGCAGGAGAAATTTAAACAATCCGGCCTAGGGGGTTGGGGGGGGGCGGGGGCGGGGGCGGCCGAGGGTTCAGCTCCGTCCCGGACCGCGCACCCACGTGTTTAGGGACAAGGCCCAATAAACAAAAGGTGAGAATGCGCGCCGCGCTCCAGCAGGTGAGTCAGTCAATCACACGTCACCTAGTAAACCCAACCCACAGCTGGTTTCTCTTTTCAAATAGAAAATAGAATTGTTCAGGGCGGGTTTATAGGGTGACATGGGCCGGAAAAGTCAGACTGGAGTTGAAGGCGCTCTCCTCTGACCCATCCTTTGTTTACAAAGCAATCACTCCTAAAAGGATGATTTTTTTTTAAACCCAGGATTTGCCTTAATTAAAATATTTGTATATTTCCCTTTAGCTTTGGGAAGCACGTTTTATAGCAGCAATTTTATTTAAATAAAATTATAAGCTAGTCCAGCTTAAACATGTTATTTTGTACCATTTAGCTGGCTGCCATGCAGAAATTCTGTACAGCTGTTCTGGAAAATTGGTTAATAACCAGTTTTATCCAATGAGAACATAGAGCATATTTATAAAAATTAGATTTTGAAGTCTGGTCTCTTCAATTCACAGAGTTAATTCCCTAATAAACATCTACTGCTCATCCTAGGTAACGTTCTCAGTAAAAGACTTACCTCTGTACTTAGGTTTGCCATTACGTGCAAGAATAATTTCACTGATATTAGGTGAGTAATTCTGTGGATGCAATCTGAGTCTACAGTTAGTTTAGTACCCTCAGGCCTTAAATTTGCTGATATTAGGAGTTCATTAAGTCAGCTTAAAGAAATCAGTGACTATTATCAAATAATTTACTTTGTGGTTAAAATGTTCAAGTACAAATATGTCTTAGGGAGCTAAAATTAATTTTCCTATTTACTGCATTAATCATTAAAAATTTGGGGGGGGGCAGTAAACAAATTTTTCAAGCAGTGGAGTCAGCATGACAAAAATAATCTTGTTTTTATTTTAGATTCAGATTTCATTACTGCACTCAAACGTTACTACAACTGGGCTTGGCGTTATTATACAATCCAAACTGTTTCCGTCAGAAACGCTAAGACTCAGTGTGCAATGATTGTTATTAATAATTAGCTCCTTGGTTTCTTGATAGAAAAAGGCTATCAACAAGCATTTGTTTATCCACAACAAAAAGTATAATTAGCTTATCCCACTTAGTAAATCTTGTATGCATGCCAACTCATACCAAACTGCTACTTTTACAAAAAAAAAAATTGCAATAATACAGTTCATTTTTCCAGTCCTTTTTGCACAAAATTTATTTACAATGTCTACATAAATGCTCCAAGGTGGGACTATGGAAAAATACACACATGACCGATGCTTTGCTCAGAAATAAAGTCAACATATTAAAAATAAATCTTCAGTCTATGTTTTTGAGCTGCATAAAACAGGAA